TCTCTGCCCCTCCCCCACTCATGCTCTGTATCTCTCTCTCTCTCAAAAATAAATAAAAACAGGGGCGCGTGGGTAGCTCAGTGGGTTAAGCATCCGACTTCAGCTCAGGGCACGATCTGACAGGTTGTGGGTTTGAGCCCCATGCTGGGCTCAGTGCTGACAGCTTGGAGTCTGGAGCCTGCTTCAGATCCTGTGTCTCCCTCTCTCTGCCCCTCCCCAGCTTGTATTCTGTGTCTCTCAAAAACAAATAAACATCAAAAAATGTAAATAAATAAATAAATAAATAAATAAATAAATTTTAAAATACGTTTAAAAAAACCAGGAAGATAAACCCTAAGAGACTCCTAAATACAGAGAACAAACTGAGGGTTGCTGGAGGGGTGTTGGGTGGGGGGATGGGCTAAATGGGTGATGGGACCTCAGGACGGCACTTGTTGGGATGAGCACTGGGTGTTATAAAAAAGTGACGAATTGCTAAACCCTATTCCTGAAATCATTATTACACTATACGTTAACTAACTTGGATTTAAATAAAAAATAAAATAAAAATTGAAAAAAATAAAAATAAAATAATAAATTAAATAAAATTCTGCATTTCTAAGAGGGAGCACCCACATGAGGCTACTCCTCAGACCACACTTGGATTTCCGCGTTTGGAGTTACTGGGAATTACGATCACCTAGGATGCTGATTCTCCAAGGGTGGTCGGAGGACCCCGGCAATCGACATTCCTTGGGGGCTTATTACAAACGCTTGTTTCCTGGCATCATCCCCGATCCTTGTAATCATACCTGCCAAAGGTGAGGTCTGGCAAGCCTCATTTTTTAGTCATTTCCTCAGGCTGACTGCTGTGGACATTCAGTTTCAGAGCTACTGCACAAAATCAGTGGTCCTCAACCACAGCTCCACGTTAGGAACACTTTTTAAAAACACTATACCCAGGCTGTGTCACAGATCAAGAACTCAGATGCTCCAAGGCATCAATGGTTTTTGTTTGTTTTTGTTGTTGCTGCTGTTCATTTGTTTGTTTGTTTGCTTGCTTAAGGACCCCTGGGTGAGCCTGGAGCAAAACGTTGAGCCTGGGTTCAAGATCACTGCTTTAGATGAATGCTTTTTCTTTGAATTTCTATTGATGTACAATATGCACCTAGAAACATACAGCAATCGTAAGGGTACACGTGAGTATTTGTGAGGAGGGTGTGAAAACATCCTTGGAGAGAGTGAAGGTTAGCTGTGCTGATAGGATCTAGAGGCTTCTCCATTCCCAACTCTGCCACTTAGAACTTGTGTGACTCCATGAATGTCAGTTTCTTCCTCTGTAACAAGAGGCCATAATACTTGCCCTTATCTACCTCCCGTAACTGTCATGTTGAAAAGACCCTGTAAACTATAAAATGCTATCCAAAGAGGAAGGATTAGCATTGTGAGATTTACACTGCGATCTTAATGCATGATGCAAACTTAAGTAAGTCATGAAAACAGAAAGCAGGAGCAAGGATTTTACAGGTGATTTGTCTTCCTGTGCTTTCTAACATGTGCGGCGAATCCCTCCAGAGTCCCACATGAGGGAGTCTGAGGACAGGGCCCTGCCACCCCAGCCTTATAGCTCCTGTTTCTCTCTATGCCCATTTATCAACCACCCCCTCCCCACCCCCGCTACAGCGGGATTCTACTTGCTAACCACTGCGGGGCGGGGGGGGGGGGGGGGG